CTCTACCCTGATGGCGATGGCCTCCAACCTAATAGCAGTGGCCTCCATGTTTGTTTCCCACTTTCCAGGGGTAAATGGAAGCGTGCCTCCCCCCTGGCAAGTCAACACGCAGCTCACTTCACTGTCTGTTTCTTCACTTTAATCGACGCATAGCGGCGCATGGTGACGCACTTCTTCTCCAAGTCACATCAAAGTGCAAGGGAAGGCCTTCAGCCTTTCGGCAATCCACACCTTCAAATGCAAGTCAAAGGGATGTTACCATCAACATCTTACAATGCAGGGACTTTTGGTCACATCACCTTGGCTCAAAGAAAGCCTATGCACAGCAATATTATTTCTTTCTGTGGCACAACTTTCAACTGGCACTGCATCCTTCATGCCATCGAGTGTCTTTTCTGTCCAGAAAATCGATGTACCAGCCCTTCTGGCGATTTGGAACCACTTTGGAACCTGTCAGACCCTAAGACCAAGCACTCGGTCACTGAGCTCATGCGAAAATCGCGGAAGAATGCTCCTCAATCCGTCGGAATGGCAATCCCAACAGAGTGGTGCAAGGCGTATGGCGCGTACGAACGAAGTTCATAGAAAGTGATGTCCGACATAGAAAGTGTGTTTCTCCCTTGTTGAAATCTATATTCTTCCATCATAGGATTTTTCTTGAGCCATTCAAGCGCGTTGTTTCGTATGCTGAGTTGGAACTGTCTGTGTCGGAGGACATGTGGTCAAACCCAGTCGGGGCTTGCTGTCCTCTCCGACAGGTTTGTCCATGTGGCCGTCTGAGCCGTCTGAGCTGTCCTTCGAACGTGCTACACAGCGGACAAACATCCCAGGTTTGTGATTGTGTTGAAAACAGAAAGAATCACTCGTGTCCTTGCAAGAAGCAGGCCGCAAGGAAGGCAAGGAGACCATCTAGCAGAGCTTTTGGACAAACTTCTAGTTGCATCTACTTGCTTGATGTGGTCCGTCGACTACTCTATTCTGGAAGTTGTTTGCTCGTGAATATGCTCGAATGGCATTTGAAGGCTAAACTAAAACTTGACATAGCCTGCCGGACATCTGATGAACAATGCCGAAGCGGCGTGTTGGTGATCAGACCTTTCTTCCTTATCTTTGTTTCTAGTAGCGATGGCCTCCAACCTAATAGTGGCTGTCGCGTACGCTTTAAGTGCCTCGAGCGTAGGACCTTGTCCTTGTGGCCTTGGCGGAGCAGCCGACTCGTCGAGCAACGCGAGACCCGAAGCGCAAAGCGTCAAGACCCCGACGTCGGTGGCGAACGAGCAACCAGCAATCGTGGCTTCGGACCATCCTGCGGCGCACTGGCACTTACCGAATGGCAAAACTTAAAACCATTTTAAAAGCCAGATGCAAAATTGTCGTTTTGTGTCATTTTGTGTGACCTTTCGTGGCAGTCGTCTCCTCCAAGATGCAAAAGGCAGACGCAGCTGATTGGTCTGACCTCAAGTGTATCTTTATGAAGGAATCCAGGAAAGTAGCAAACATGCCATAAGACTTTCATACTTTCTGCGCCGGGCTTCCACACAAGTGGAAACGCCCCAACAAGTTGCCCTCGGGCAAATCCCAAGCATCTAATGAAGATCCGCTATGCAAGACCTCAGAACTGCCAGCAAGACTGGCAAGCGTTTGTGAGCTGCTAGACATTGGCCCATTGGCACAAAAGAGTTTCGCACCAACAATTGCCCTCCCTTCATTATCTGGAGAGCCTGTCAGCTTCAGCTTTGTCAAACTACTAACGTCAGGCACATGTCTGCAAAAAATTGTCCACTGCCCGCCTGCACTGTTGTGTAGTTCTCCTGGCAAGGTTAATGGTCTGAAAGCCACGCAAGCACCAAGGGCATGGACACATCTTTACCAAAGGACATGTCTCGCTAGGTCATTAAACTAAGCAGGCCTTGTTCTCTGAGCATGAGCCGAAGATCGCGGCTGTCTGTCCAGGTGCTGAAACTTAACGTCCATGAAATGAATCAGAAGCAGGCGAAGGCGACGAAAAGAAGCGCCAAATCCCAGTATCCAGCTCCAGCTGTCAGTCATCCGAAATTTAAAGGAAACACACTGGAGAGGAATATGAGAACTCTTGGGATTGCAAAAAAACAAAAAGTCAGAACGAATTTTTCTTGGGCCTTTGGCCACGTTGCACGGCCTCAGTGCTTCGTGACATTCCATCCTATTAGAGAGTTCACCCACTAGCAATGGCCTCACACCTATTAGCGATGGCCTCCAACCTAGTAGCGGTGGCCTCCAACCGAACCTATTAGCGAAGGCCTCCAACCTATAGTAGCGGTGGCATCCAACCGAACCTAATAGCGATGGCCTCCAACCTAGTAGCGGTGGCC